GGGATGGTGGGGCGAGAGGCTTCTGCCAGAGGTTTAAAGGTTCACCCCCACACCAGCTTCAGTCACAGCCCACAGGAGCTGCCCCCATAGCCTCTGCAGATGCTGCCTGCCTGGAGGCGCCAGCAGCTGCTCTGCGGGGAAGGGGCCTGAGGGCAGAATGTGACCAAGGCTGGCAGAAATGGGGGTGAGGACATGTGACCTCATGTGTGGGGCGAGAGGCTTCTGCCAGAGGTTTAAAGGTTCACCCCCACACCAGCTTCAGTCACAGCCCACAGGAGCTGCCCCCATAGCCTCTGCAGATGCTGCCTGCCTGGAGGCGCCAGCAGCTGCTCTGCGGGGAAGGGGCCTGAGGGCAGAATGTGACCAAGGCTGGCAGAAATGGGGGTGAGGACATGTGACCTCATGTGCCTGCCCCACACGTTGCCTCTGAGCTGTCTGCCTGGGGGGAGGGGAGTCTCAGGGCTTCAGCCCCACTGGGCCAGAGACTGGGGTGTGGGCTTCAGCAGAAGCCGGGCTGACACCCTGGCAGGTGCTTCCCATGGGGCTGAAGCCCTGAGCTCCCGCAGGTGCACCCTAACTCTGGAACATCTGATGGTGAATCGTATTTGGCTTGGAAGACCCATAATTTTGGCCACCTCTGGTACAGAGCCTTCCCCACGCCTCTCCTCACGTCAGCTAGTGGGCCAGGCACTGCTCTGGGATCCAGGAGAGTTCGCTTCAGTTCCTGGCTGTGCTACTGATCTGCTGTGTGACTACGGGCAAGTGGTTCCCTGCCCCGTGCCTCAGTTTCCCCTCTCACCCTTTGTCCATATGACCATGTGCTCTGTGGAGCAGGGGCTTTCCCTCACTCGGGATGTTTGCAGAGCTTCATGTATTGGGACCTCTGATCCAACACAATGGGGGGGGGTATTTGGAGGAAGAGGTCTATGTAGTGCCTGACCTCATGGGGGCAGGAGGGCTGTTTGTGCAGCAGCCAGCACAAAGCGGGCTCTGCTCTGTTCAGGTTTCCATGCGTTCACTGTCACTGAAGCTGGATCAGGCCTGTCTGGCCTCTGGCTCCAGGACATAAACTGATCTTTAGCTGACAGGGGCTCTTCTATGTCTGCAGGGCGCCTTGCAGCTGGGGCAGGCTACCAGGCAAGAAGGGTCCGAGTTCCTAGGGGAGTTCCCCTAGTTCTGTCTGCGGCTGCCAAGAAGGCTGGGGCGTTGGTCGGCACGAGGGTTTCGGCTCCGCTCAGTGCAGAGATAATGGCTATTTGCACAGTTCAGCTATCAAACTTCTCCCTTACAGCTGCACGGAGACAGGGCTCTGGTTCAGGCCCGCCACTGTGAACAGGTGTGTGGATTATGGGCATCCCCACACAATGAAACAAAGGGCTCGGTCTTAAAATCCTTCCATGACCTTTCCAGGCTCCAGCCTAGGGTGAGCAGGTAGTGTGAAAAATCGGGACGGGGCTGGGGTAGAAGGTGCCAATGTAAGAAAAAGCCCCAAGTATCAGGAGTCTCTATAAAATCAGCACATCTGCTCACCCCACTCTGACTCAGAAGCATGCAGTGCTGGGGAAGTCAGTTCCCGTAGTCCACACCCGCCTGAACCCGTGCCACAGGGAGGCGGGACTCAGGGGAGGAGCGGGTGAGAGCCAGGATCATTGGGGAAAGAAGCCATGACTCAAGGAGGACCCTGTTGCAACAAGGGAAGCCCACACAAAGGGGAGGGGTGAGTGGGAGCCACCCCCACCCCTTTAAACCTGCCACAGGATGAGCATGCACCACACCTAGTGGCAAAACCAGCTTCTCTTGGTGCTTCCGCCAGGTAACACTCCCTGCTCTCTCCAGGGCAGATCTCCAAAGCCAGCCACAGCCTCCCTTGGGAATGTGGCTGCAGCACGGTGGGGGCGGACTCCCGATATTGAGGCATGCCCAAGCCCTAATGAAACTCAACCCCGCTGAGTTCTTGGGCTCGGTGACAGCTCTGGGACAGAGGCCCATTGGTTACTGGTGGCCCAAAAGCCACCCTGTGCCTCAGTGGAGTGGGCGAAGCATGGAGTGTGGAAAGGCTCTGCCATGGTTAAAGCTACAGCAAAATTGTAGTTGAACACCAATATTTGCATCCTCTATAGCAGGGGTAGGCAAAAGGGTCTCCACGGGCTGGATCCGGCCCGCCAAGCAGGTTGATCCAGTCCGTGGAGGCCCTGCGGCTCCCGTGACCCAGGATAATTGGCCTGGGGGTGCAGGGAAGCGCATGAAGTTTCCTCCACCCTGCCAAGAGACTTCGCATGCTCCCCCACTCCCAGACCAGTCAGGGGCCTGAGTGGGGGGAGCAGGCCCTGTCCTCACCCTGCAAGGAGCAAGCCGTGCTTACGAGCGCCACATGCTCCTGGCAGTGAGGGAGGAGATTTCGTGTGCTGCCCTGCCCCCAAGCCCTGATTGACCAATCATGGTCTATTGGTGGGGAAGCAGGGAAGTATCCTGGCCCCGCCCTTTCCGCTTGAGGCCCCGCCCCTTCTGGTGTGGCCCGGCATTACTTTAAAAATTTCTGAAGTGGCCTCCGGCAAAAAACTATTGCCCATCCCTGTTCTATAAATTACCCATCAGATTGCCTAGGAAATTAATGGGCTAGACCATGGGGTGGGGGAGAATTTGTGGGGCAGTGACCAAAGGGTGACCCAGCACTCTAAAACAGGAGCCATTTACACACACACAAACTGCTCTTTTTAAAAAGCAATAAATGCTGCTTGTTAACACTAAAAAATAAGTATAAATAGAGTCATTTCTCCCGCGCAATCCACTATCAAGCATGGCAGCCCTGCCGTACAGGTCCCTGACTGTCCCTGTTTGCACTGGGATGAAAAGGTGAGTCCCCCATAGCCATAGCCAGGGGGGCCGATTCTTTGGTAAGAGTCCCGCTGGGAGATCTCCCAGGTGCCCTTGCAACTCCGGCCTGGGAGCGACAGGTGCACTGGGGCGTGGCAAACCAGGCCTTCCCAGCTCTAGATGTCCGTCAGTCTTTCTGCAGGTGGCCAAAGAGTCTGTACCTGCTGCTGAGTGTCTCCTCTTCTCATTCACTCTCCAGCCTCTCCCGGATGTCCATGGGCAGCATCTCATAGAGGGTGCTTTCCACCACCAAGCCGCTGCGTTTGAGCGCCTGGCACTTCCCAATCTGAGGTGGCAAGGTCTCGAGACGGTTCCCTTTCAGCTCCAACTTGCTGAGCAAGGAGAGGTTGCCCAGGCGGGGAGAGAGGGTGGAGAGCTTGTTGTGTCCCACCATCAGAGTCTTTAGCTTCTTGCAGAAGAAGAGCTCCTCAGGCAGAGTCTCCACCGAGTTGGAGGAGATGGCGAAGTACTGGAGATGCTGGAGCACACCTACCTCCGGGGGTATCACGTGGATGCTGTTGTTGGAGAGGTCAAGGTAGCGGAGCTTGGTGCAGAGGAAGAGCTGAGAGGGCAGGACCTCTATTTTGTTGCGGTTGAGATAGAGCTGCTCCAGGCTCTTGAGCTTCCGGATGTGCTCGGGGATATAGGCAATGTGGTTGCTCCAGAGCTTGAGGCAGACGAGCTTGCGGCAGTGCTGGAAGCTGATGATTTCCTCGATGGAGCGCAGCTGGTTGTCTTTCAGGTCCAGCTCCTGCAGGCTGACCAGGCTGAAGACGGCATGGGGGATGCGCTCCAGGTTGCAGTTGACCAGCTCCAGCTCCCGAACGTTGACCAGCTTCTTGAGGTTATTGAGGGTCACCAGCTTGGTGCCGTCGTTGAGGATGCAGAGCCGCTGCAGGTGGGCCGAGACATCGGTCACACTGGGTGGCACCTTGGCGATGTTGCTGTGCAACGTGAGCACCTTCAGGTTCCTCAGTTCCCGCAGGCTCTCCAGGCCGGATGTTCTCCCCAGGTCTTGGCTGAAGAGGCCGGAGAGGTGGAGCTCTTCCAGCCCACGCAGGCTGTAGATCCACAGTGGCATGTCCTTGATCTCATCAAAGGTGACCTGCATCACTTTGAGGTGGTCCCGTAGGAAGACCAGGGCAGCAGGGAGAGCTCGTGGAGGCGGACGAGCTGAGCCACCAGTGGTGAGAAGGTCACGTCCTTGAGCCGCTCCAGTTTCAGGGCCTCCATCTCCGTCAGCTCAAAGACGGCATCAGGCAGGCCGGGCAGCATGAAGAGGTGGAGCTCCAGGCGGCCCTGCGTATTCCGCTGCAGCTTCTGCCGCAGCTTCTCTTCCGTCCACTCGTGGTTGAGGTTGAGCTGCTGGAGCTTGCTCTCGCTGACCTCGGAGAGGAAGACAGCGAAGCGCTTGGAATAAAGGGAGTCGTACTCGTCAATCAGGTGCAGCATGAAGGCAAAGTCATTCTTGACGTCAGGGATGTCGCTGATGCCTGTCTCCTCCCGCACATAGCGGAAGGAGTACTCTTTCAACGGCCGGTGGAAGAGCCAGTAGAGCGTGTAGAGGCAGGTGAGGCCATAGACACCCAAGAAGCAGATGTAGCAGATGGCCAGCTTGGAGAAGAGGTGGGCCTTCGTGTGGTTGCAGCAAAAGTGGCCATAGCCTGTCATGTCTTCCATCTCCACGCTGCAGGGCACGATAAAGTGGATGTTCTGCACCAGGGCCCCATTGTAGGCTGTGATGATCAGAAACTTGAAGACTTTGAGAACCGTCTGGCGGATGTACATGGTGTGGAGGATGTCGCCCTCCTCCACGTGCAGCCGGAACTTCTTCACCTTCTCGAACAGAGCCTTGGCCTGCTCCCCTTCCTTCTTGTCCAGCAGGCTGACGGAGGGAGCCTCCGCTACCTTCTTCTCAGAGATGGACTGGACGGGCTGTAGTGGAGGCGGGGGGCCGGTCTTCCTTCTTTGGGCTTGACCCTTCTTGGTTCTCCCCAGAGACCTCAGAGAGGGCCCGGGTAGTCCAGGGCGAGTCAAAGCACTTGCCGAGGATGCAGATGAAGTGCTCGATCTTGGAGCTGGTGCCAGGGAACTTGAACCAGAAACTGGCGCAGACCATAAAGATGAGGGTGTGGATGACCACCAGGTAGGGGAAGTATTTGGCGTACCAGTGCAGGGCTGTCTCGTAGCACATCTGGTTGATGAAGCTGTACTGCTGGATGTCCAGGTTGTTGCGCAGGCCACTCATCTCTCGGGCTGGATGGGCTGTGTCTGGCTCCGAGGCGTTGAGGCTCTTCCTGGCGAAATTTTGGCACGTGTCAACAGAGTGCGAAGCACCGGCGGGGACGTGGTTGGGGAGGCAGATGATCTTATCCTGTGTCACCTGGGGATAGAGCCACAGAGGGAGGCAGGTTAGGAAACCATGGGGGATCCGGATTCACACCAGGTGGGGATGTGACCCCAACGGAGCAATGGCCCACTGACACACAGTGGGGGTCTGGCCCCAGGCGTCATGCAACGGTCCATGCGTGGTTCTGCCCCGAGCACCAACTGCAGGCTGCATTCATGCATGTGTCAGGGCAATAGTGGTATCGGGCACTGAAGCTGTGCCCAGCCCAGGGGCAGCTTAGACACACAGCACCAATGCAATATCACAGAATCCTAGGCCTGGCAGGGACCGAGGTCACCGAGTCAAGTCCCCTGCACTCACGCCAGGACTAAGTATTACCTAGACCTTCCCTGACAGGTGCTTGCTTGTCTAACCTGCTCTTAAAAATCTCCAATGATGGCGATTCCACAACCTCCCCGGGCAATTTATTCCAGTGCTTAACAACTCTGACAGTTAGCAAATTCTTCCTAATGTCCAGCCTAACCCTCCCTTGCTGCATTTAAGCCCATTGCTTCTTCTCCCGCCTCCTTGTAACAAGCTTTCATGTTCTTGAAAAGAGTGATCAGGTCCCCTTCTCAGACTTCTCTTTTCCAGATTAAACAAACCCAGGTTTTTTTTCAATCTTGCCTCGTGGGCCATGTTTCCTGTAATCATTTTTGTTGCTCTTCTCTGGATTTCCTGCAATTTGTCCACATCATTCCTGAAATGTGGGGCCCAGAACGGGACACACTACTCCAGGTGAGGTCTATTCCATGCAGAGTAGTGCAGAAGAATTACCATGAGACTGAAGCCAAGGCTGACCCCTGCCCCCCGCCTCTGCTGCCGGAGTAGGCTGCAGCCCAGCCAGCACATCTTCAGAGCTGTGGTGGGGGGGGTCCACAACACACGGGCTGCTGGGAGTTGTAGTTTCAGTGGGCTGCACTCTGAAGCATCAATGGGCAAGGGCAAGAAGGCCAAGGGCCTGAGTGGCCAAGACCCACTTTGGCCCTAGGACAAAGGAGACAGAGTCCAAGAAGCACAGCTGGTAGCAAGGAAGTATGTCTAGTGGTTAGAGCACACGTGCTTGGAGTTAGGTTCTGTCCCCAGCTCCAGGAGGAGCGTGGGATCTAGTGGATCCTATCCCCCACTCTATCCCTACCTCTCTGTTTGGCCTTAGGCTGCTTCCCTCCTCTCTGTGCCCGACCAACCCCAGGGTGGCAGCAAGTCTCTAAAGCCCCTTGTGATGCGGAGAGAAATGGGACTAACAAAAGACAAAGAGCCGCTAGTTCACGCCAGCCTTTTCCTCCAGCTAGAGCGGCGGGCACCTCCCACGAGCTTAGCATGCAAACACATGCACTGCACACGGCGCACGCCAGCCCCATGGGAGCCCCTGTGATCCACGGCTCATGCAAGGCCAAGCCATCGCTAATCGCAACCCAGGAGTCCTGACTCTGAAGGGAACAGTCCCCGCTGTGATGTTGTTAGTTACGAGAGCTGAGGGAGCGCGGGGGGCAGGAAGCAGAGAGGAACTGGCCAGGCTGCTATACAGTATTAATGCCCTTCGTTCTGCAGAGCCTTGGCTGGCCTGGTGATACACAAAATAAATCAACTGGTTACTGCAACCCCAGGGCCACGCATCTTCCTCTTTCAGAAACGTGACATTCAGCCCCTGGCTCTGAACAAGCCAAACCCACCTATGCAGTATGAGTGGCATTCCCCACCTGTGAATGACCAACCTACTACTGCTGCCCACTGATGGAGCTGCTCCTTCAGCTCAAGCAGAAGAGTGCTGTGCTGAGGGTCCCTGTGTCAGCAGGGTCTGAGTGTGTGCGTGCAGGGAACTTGCCTGAGGTCATCCCGAAAGTCAGAGCCAGAACTGAGAGTGAAACCCAGGAGTCCCACCCCCAGCTCTCTGCCCTCCCCATGCCTAGACCTCACTCATCTCCCAGAGCCAGGGAAAGAACCCAGAAGTCCCAACCCCCAGCCCCCTGCTTTAACCACTCTCTCACCTAAGCGGGGGGTTCTCTGTACTTCCCTGGCAGATCCTGCCATCTCCTGGCACCTCATTGGCTGGCAGGTGGTGAAATGGTTAACTCAAGGGGGACCACAGGGGAGCTGATCTTGCTCCCGTCCTCCTCCCCACACGTGGCCCTGGGGCTTTGCCTGTGGGACTCGCTGACACGGATGTTCTCCCTGTTACCATGAGAGGAGACGCTGTAACAGGGCTGCTGCCGTGTGCACGTGGTGTTGGGCTTCTCTATGGACAGACTCCTCCCCTCAAGGTCAGAGGGACCCTCATCTGGGGGCGACCCCCACCCTGATGACAGACCAACCTAAAACAGGGCAGGGGGAGTCGGGGTAGCTCAAGCGGGAGACAAGGATGGAGGGGTCCTTCTCCCGTGTCCCCTGTTCCACCCCAGAATGCAAAGCGTGCCGGCCCATCCACTAGCCACTAGCATTCAAGGGTGGAATCTAGTGGGTACAGCTGGGGGCAGGGGTAGAAGTCAGATGCTTGGGTTTTGTTCCCAACTCTAGCAGGGGAGTATGGGGGAGGGGCTCTGGGGTCAGGACTCCTGTTCTCAGCTGTTTTCCCCCACTTGGATGAGCCCAGTGGCCCGTTTCCTTCCTGTGGTTCAGCCACAGCCTTCACTCCCACCTGCATCCCCTCCTGCAGGGCAACCCAACATCCAGCCACACCCCAGACGTGCTGGGGCGAGCTCCCTGCCTGGGCACGGATCCCCTGCAGCAGGGCAGAGGGAGGCAGCACCTGCCCAGATACTCTACACGCTCCAGGGGAGGCCAATCCCTCCTGCTTGCGGAGTGGGGGGGATCACCCCTTCTTAGGGGCTGTATTGAGGGCCCTTGCCCTTCTCCCTGTCCCTCGAGCCCTGGGCCTACCCTCTCCTCTCCCAGCAGGAAGGTTGCATTCGCCCGCCTGGTGGTCCAAAGCCAAACCCCACCCCCTCTGAACCGGGGGGTTCAGATCCAAATTGCCCAGTTCCCCAGGGGAGACGTCTTCCAGTTGCCTCCCGTCAGGGCAGAGGGCATGCTGGGACTCCATTTGACAGGCAGGAGGGTGACCGGCTACCGGGGCTCTTCCCCGCCAGCTGCCTTCTCCTCTATCTCCACTCCTGTCCTTGGCCAGAGTTCGGGGTCTGCTCCCTGCTCTTAGGGGCACTGCTGACACCTGCCATGAGCACAGCACCTGCTACTGTCCGCTGAGGATAGAACCTTCTACTGCTGCTGCTGCTGGTGATTCCCCTTCAGCTCCAGAGGGAGGGGGCCACAGAGGTCCCAGGTCCTGTCCCTGCTGCTGCATGGGAGGGCTTTCACAGAGGGTGGTCATGGCTTACCCCCCCCCCACGCCCGGTACCCACCTGCAGGGTGCAGCCGAAAACCCCAATCATGAGCATGGCCACCGTGATGTACTCGGCCAGCACATCCCACCAGGGCTTGAGCACCTTGAAGGCTGGCTGCTGGTCCGTGAACTGCTTGAATTCAGCTACAGGGATCATCCTGTCTGCAGAGAGAGGGAGGGGTTAGGCTCAGGCCTGCGAGCTTGCTGGGTCCTCGGTCGGTCAGCAGGAGCTCGGGCGCCCAAGCACACAGGCCCTGCTGCATGAAAACAGGCAATTGAGTGGAAGAGGGCCATTGGGGAGGAAAGGTCTTCAGGCTGCGGGACCAGGAGAGGGAGCTGGTCCCTGGCAGGAGCCCAGCCTGAGAGAGAAAATTGTCCTGTCCTGAATCTCTTTCACCTCCACAACACCAGCCATCCCCGAGTACATTGCTTGCCTTGCCCTGACATGCAGCCACTTCTGGGGTGGGTCACAGCCGCTGGCTAATAGCCCCTCAAGAGCCTGAGACAGGAGAGCCCTGCTCTGACAGGGGAAGTTTCAGGGCAGGATGTAGGAAGGCAGAAGGGAATTACTCCTGTTGGAAAGGGGGCAGGACAGCAGGGCTGGGGAGTGTGGCTAGTCCGACAGACACAGGTCACATGCTGCAGTGCAGCTTTGGGGCCTGCACAGACTGCACGGTGAGGGTGCCCCCTACTAAGCCCCCTCTGGTACCCCCTGCGGGTCACCCACACCACTTCCTCCCCACCTCAGTCTGACCCAGTCTCCTTTCCCCGCCTGCCCAGGCACGGGACAGGGCTACTCACGGAGTCATAGGAAGCTCGATCCAGGACATCGATATGAGCGGGGAGGGGGAGCCAGGGGGAGACACTGGATCCGCTTTCAAAGGGCTGCTGAAAGCTGATCCAGCCAGCTGCAGAGTCCTGCTCCGTGGCTTGAGAGCAACCCAGGCACCGGGCACCGCGTGGGGTTTAACCAGCGCTGGGTGGGCCCTGCCAGCCCGGGCCCTGGAACCCGCCACCTGGGAGCAGGGGGTTCCAAGCACCATAGCAACGCCCTGTGGCCTCCAGGCAACAGAGAGGAGGTGATGCTGGCTGAGGGTGACAGGAAGCAGACAGGACTCTGCTCCCTAGGCTCGCCTTTACCCCGCCTGGGGGCGGGGGGGATCCAGCCTCAGTCTTTGTGTTGTGCAGCAGGGATGGATCCCAGGAACCCTCATTTCCAGCCTCTGCCCCTAACCCGCTGGATCCCACTCTTCCCTCCACCCTGAGCTGGGGATAAAAGCCTGGCTCAGACCCACCTGCTTTAATTCCTAGAGCCTGCTCCCCTCCGAGTGTGAATAGAACCCAGGCTCCCAGACCCCTGTGTTCTGACCACTAGACCCCACCCCTCCCATAGCTGGGACTAGAACCCAGGAGTTGTGGTTCCCGGTTCCCGCTCTAACCACTAGATCCCATTTCCCTTTCAAGATGGGAATAGAAGCCAGGAGTCCTGGTCCTTGGTCCCCCCCTGCTCTGACACACTAGACCCCACCCCATTCCCAGAAATGGGAAGTTTAACAGCCCCCTCCATCTCCTTGGCCCTGTACTCTCCCAAGTCCGTCCTGCACCCCCCTTATCCCACCTCTGCTGCACAGCAACCAGGTCTGCAGATCTGGAGTCTGCCACTCACATTTCTCTGGAGTGGGGACAGAGCCAGCGTTTGCTCAATGGGGCAAACGATTGTGAACCAGCTAGCCCTTGTGAAAATGTATCTAATTGTCCCCATGGGGAGACGCTTTCTGCCCTCCCTCCAGAGAGGCTAAGTCCAGAAGATGGCTCTGCGAGCCCACATACCCACCCTGATCCCCTGCCAATGTGCACCACCCCTCCCCTGGGGTGCCCTCCTTGAAAGCAGTCTTGGCGGCCTGTTCAGTCTTTGGTTTTTCCATCAAAACTCTTGGATTTTGTCTCCATATTTGGGTGGTAGTGGTGTCTAATGGTTAGAGCAGTGGAGCTAGGAGTCAGGACTCCTGACTTCTATCCCTGGCACTGGAAGGGGGGCGGGGAGGTGTCTAGTGGTTACAGCAGAGGAGCTAAGAGTCAGGACTCCTGGGTCTCAGACTTTGCCATTGACACTGTGTGATCTTAGGCAATTCCCTTCCCTCTCTTGTGCCTCAATTCCCCCAAACCCTTTACTGCTCCTTGCAGGGCTGGCGAAACTTAACCACCTTTGCCTACTGCTGCCACTGGTGGTGGGAGGCAGAGCGTGACCTTTTTCATTGCACTGACTAAGGGATGGGGATACAGCTGAGACTGACAACCAGCGGGAAAGCTCCTGGCTCTGCCTGGGTTTTTCCCCTCCACCCCGTCGGGTGCTAGATGGGCTCCCCAAAGGAAATGCCTTTCCCTTTGCTCAGGGGGGAGAGTGAGGCAAGCCGGCTCTTCCACAAGGGATGTTGTCCCGGCAGCTGCTTCCTTGTGGTTTGTATGTGTGCCTGCACAGCGGAGTAAATATTTCCATTGACTGTGCTGGGCACCAGAGGAGATGGGGGGAGCAGAGAAAGCCGCCGGCAGTTTGGGGCAATCTGGAGAATTCAGAGCAGAGAGAATTTTTAAAAGCAGGGTTGGAACTCTCCAGGGAAGCCCAAAGTAATAGTGGAAGAAACTCTGCTCTGACTGCTAGTCCACACTCCCCATGCGGAGCTGTAAATGGAGTGAGGAGTGTGTAGGGCTGGCAGGTGGCCCAAGGGACTTGCACCCACGTGTACAGCCAGGAACCCCCGGGGCTCCTAGTCTTGGCTCCACTGAGCCAATGTGTGGCTTTGGGCAAAGGTGAAGAGCTGAGTATTGACACAGCCCCACTGCCACTGAGGGCTTTGTGTGGGGGCAGAGCGGGGGAGTGATCATGCTGCAAAGCCGGGACAGATCCCAGCTCCTCCTGCTCTGACGGTACCAGTCTGTGAAACTTGAGTTTAGAGGAGACTCACCATTAGCAATAGAGGGCTTTTGACACACAGGATTCAATCCAGCAGAGGGAAGTATCCCCACCTATCCCTCCCACCTCTGTGTCCCCCCCAGTATCATTACATCTCAGATGCATGTTTGGCTCGACAGGGTGTGACTAGGAAACAACACCCAGAACTAACAGCTGGACTCCCCCACCATCCATGGTGCTTACAATCAACTGGATACTTCAGGGATCACAGTGGGGAAAGAGGAGACAAACTGGGGCAGCCCTGGAGTCCTTGTCCAGCATGGGCAGCTGGGAATGTAGGATCCCTCCTCCAGCCCCTGGGATGCAGTGCTGGGGGCCTGTTCGCATCTGTGAGGCCCTGCAGGGATCAGGACCCATCCAGCCCCCACCTCACTCTCACTGCAGCCCTTAGAGCATCTTTCAGACCATCCCAAAAGGAATCAATGAGCAGAAGACCATGAATTTGGGGAGACAACAGGAAACTGAAAGGGGGCTCCTGCCCTCCCTGGAGCACAGCCACCACCTGCAGAGGTTGGTAGCCTCATTAATACCTCCCCCCCTACATCTCTGCTCTGCTGCCCCACCGTGCCCCCAGCTGGCATCCCGAATGCCTGCTCTCCCAGGCAGAAGGGTGGGGGGGGGACAGATCCTCTGGCATGGGGAAGTGTGGTCTGGGGGAACCTCGATCCAGAATGGAGGCCCAGCTGCTCAAGCTACTCCAGGCATGCAGGAGCCAAGAGCTTCACTCTGGAGTGGCCAGGTGCCTGGCTGCCTAGGACACCTGATGCCTACCCCCACGTGGAGCCTCCCCTCACCCTCACCTGCAGCAGGGGTGATCAGCAAATCCCTGGACTGGCCCAGCATTCTCAGATGCTCTCAGTGCCCAGCCCCTTGGCCCCCACTCCCAGCCTGACCCAGAAGAGAGTCCCCCCTTTCTTCCTCTTCCTCCGCCTGGCCCGAGTCCCTCATCCTCCCAGGCACACAGACTAACCCCCAGCTCCAAGCAAGCCCTCCCCACCCCCATGCTCCTGCCATGCCCAGCCCTCAGGCAACCCCTCCCCCTCTCTATGCCCCCCCCATTTCTGGACACCCCCAGTCATGCCACGCTCACAGGCATCCCCTATCCATCCCCACATTGCTAAGTGTCCTCCAGTCACGCTCAGGCAACATCTAGCACTTGTAGTCCCCAGACCCCTCCAGCCCCCCAGCCTCTGAGCTCAACCCCCACTTCTTCACACAGGCTTCCAGAGGTGGCTGGGGCCTGCTCCATTTGGGCGGGGGGAGGTAAGGGGAACTGAAGGGGGTCCCACCAAACAAGGCCCCCCAAAGCAGGATGTGTTTCCCTCCCACAGCCCCAGGGGGAAATCTGCACCCCAAAAACTCTCTCTGAGAAGAGGCAAACAAGCACTATCTTATCCCCTCTACCTCCCAGAGAATCCCTCTCCCCTAAAAATTGTCCCCTTTCTCCTAGGGACAAATTGCCTTCCCCCCCTTCCTGGGGCAAAACCAGATCCACTCCCCCCCTTTCCTGGGGGCAAACCCCAACTGCCCCATTTCCACAAGGGCCAATCCAGATCCCACTAAAGTTCGCCTGTTGCCCCCCCTGTCGCTCTTGCTGGGGAGTAAATCCGGACTCCCTCCTCTGCGGGAACGCGAAATCCGAATCCCCCGTTTCCTCCGCCCTTTCTGGGTGAGTGGAAACCGGATTCTCGCTCCGCCGGGGGGGGGGGGAGGATTTCTGACCACGCCCCCGCTTTGCCCCTGTAACTCACCAGCTCTCCGGTCCCCCTGCCCAGCTGGTCCCGGCTGCCTCCCCTGGGCTCGACGGGGCGCGCTCAGGGTAACCCCGCCGCGCCCCCCGCCCCGTGCGCGGTGACAGGCTCCTCGACGCTGCTCCCTGACACCCCCGGGGCCGCGGTGACTCACCGGTCTGGCGAGCTTCCGCCCAGCCCCTCCGCCCTGCACTGGGCTGGGTCTGGGGAGGGAGGAGACCCGGGGCAGAGCAAACACGCGGAGCCTCCGTCGGTACCAGCCACAGAGCTGCAGCGACCGGCACACAGAGCAGCCAGGCAGGGAGAGCGGCGTGCTGCACCCCCCTCCCCGCGGGGTCTGGCCCCAGGGGAGTGGGGACTAGTGGGGAGAGCAGGAGTGGGGCTGGGGGTCAGGACCTGCTGGGTTTTGGCCACAGCGATGTCAGGGGAGTGAGGACTAGTGGGGAGAGCAGAGGTAGGGCTGGGGGTCAGGACTGCTGGGTTTTGGCCACAGCGATGTCAGGGGAGTGAGGACTAGTGGGGAGAGCAGAGGTAGGGCTGGGGATCAGGTCTGCTGGGTTCTGGCCTCAGCGATGTCAGGGGAGTGGGGACTAGCGAGGAGAGCAGAAGTAGAGCTGGGGGTCACGACTGCTAGATTCTGGCCTCGGGAGTGGGGACTAGTGGGGAGAGCAGGACTCCTGTATCTCTCTCACGGGGTGCCCTCAGAAGCACCCATTCTGCTCTTTGTCTCAGATTCCCAGCTGTAGGTGTGGGCAGCAGCACTCCCAGCTCCTCAGGTGACAGAAAGGGTGATTGCACATTACAATGGTTTGATTATTTAATCTCACTGAAATTGTGGTTTGAATTCAGCCCATGGGTGTTGCTCATGGACCAGAGAAGATTTCTACATCTGCACTAACAATCTGACATTTCTGCAGCTGCTGTCACACAAGGTACTTTGCAAATTCTTTATAAGGAGCACTTTGCCCCCTGAAAACGAAATGCAGCCACTTCTGGGGTGGGTAGCAGCAGCTGCTGTTTAACAGCACACAGCAACTCCATATAGGGACCATTCACTCAGCACTGAAATGCAGCCACCTTGAGGGTGGAGCGTGGTAGGTGTTCAACAGTGAGAAGCACCACTGCACAAGACTCACTCATCTCACACTGAAATGCAGCTAGCTCTGGGGTGGAACACAGCAGCTATTTAACAGCACGCAGCAACACCGCACAAGAACAGTTGTGAAGTTGATCACTGCATTGAAAATGTTCACAAGGTAGATTAGAAAAGT